GTGTGTGTGCGTCCTGGAGTTCCCGTCCCCAGAGCTGTCCCCGGGTTTCCCTCAGTTCCGCCTAAAATGTAAGCTCCTCCTTCAGTCCACTCGCAAACGTCCATCCTCTCCTGACCTGCCTGCCTCTCACCTCTTTACAAGCTCCCTCCGACACCGGCCTCAGCCAGGTCCCGGCTGTCTCTGAACACAGGCCTCGACAGCCTCTTTGGGTGACTTTCCCACACTATTCAACTTCCTGATGAAGCCACAGATGCAGATATGTAGGTACTTCCAAAGCTGCTGTTTGGCAAGGGGGTGGCAATTTCTGACTCTGTGTGTGTGTATGTGTGTGTGTACACATGTATAAACAAAACCGGTGTCCTGGTGGAGGAGGGGTAGGTATGCACATGTGTCCGTCCATAAGCACACATGGCAGGTATCCTGGTGGAGGGGTGGGTGTAACAACAAGGAGATACCACCTCGCCCCAACCCTGGTAACAAAGTTCAAGACAGAAAATAAATGCTGGGGAGGGTGTGGAGAGATTGGAACCTTCATACACTGCTGATGAGAATGCAAAATGGTACAGCCATTGTGGAAGATGGCATGGCTTTCCTTCAAAAACTGAAAGTAGAAATGCCATGTGATCCAGCAATTCCATTACTAGGACTATATTCCTAACACGGACAGACATACACACACCCATGTTCGTCGCAGCGCAATGCACCAAAGCAAAGAGATGGAAACAACCTAAATGCCCATCAACAGATGAGTGGATAACCAAACTATGGTGCATCCATACAACGGAATACTGTGCTATATTAAAGAGCAACGAGGGTTACGCGAATCATCTCACACCGTGGATGAGCCTGGAGGACTTTATGCCGAGTGAAAGAAGCCAATCGCAGAAGGACAAGTACTGTGTGAGCCCATTACTGCAAAAAGACAAGGAAGGCTTTGCTGAAGGAAGGGGACTCACTGTGCTGGTTCCCAGGGATGGGAGGGCAGGGCAGGGAAAATTTTGGACTAGTTGGGGGTCACATGTTGATTTGGGTGAGGGGAAGGGTAGTATGGAGAGAGTCTGTGACTAGCACGGTGACCCTGGGGAAAGGAATGACACAGAAACATGCACAAAAGAAAAACAAAAAGTTTGGCTCAAAGAAAGGGACAAAAATGTGTTCTTTTCCTTCACGGATTCCATCAGGCTCTGCCCGAGGATGCGGCTGCAGCTGGAGGAGGCCAACACCAAGGCGGGGGGCCCCCAGACTGACCAACATGCACAAGCCCAGAGTTTGGGGGGACAACACCTGCTGTGTGCCGTGGCCCCTGCCGGCCACTGAAGGCATGCAGGCTGCTAGCCCCCCAGCCACAGCAGGCTGAGGACCGGGGCGATGGCGGTGTTGCAGCCGCTGGCTTCCTGAGAGCTTCAGGCTCTCCCTCCATCCGGCTCTGCCTGGGTGGCTGACGTGTCTGGCCAGGCTTGAGTTCAGAGCAGTTGGTTCTGTTTTCCTGAGTGAATGGCTTGGGCAAAGGGATTGACCCCCAGAGCTTCCTGCTGTCTGTGTGTGTGGCGTTCCTCTCCAGTCGTGTTTGGTTACTAATCTCTGCCTACAGGGAGTCACTCCCAGACCAGTTCTGTGTGAGAGGGTCACGTGAAGGACCAGCCAGGCCAGTCAGCCTCAACTCCTCTGTCGCCCGCTGTGGTGGTTAAGTAAGGTGGTGTGCCAACTTGGCTGGGCCTGGGTGAGTGGCTGGGCAGCTGGATGTAGTATTCCCCATGATGAGACCGGCCACCAACTCCATGGTGGGATCTACTGTGAGCAGCTGAGTAGCTGCCTTGGGGATGTGGTCTGCTTCCCGTATATAAGGAGAAGTTTTGGGAATGGTTTCTAGCTTACAGCACGCTTGGACCCTGCATGTAGCTGAGTCGTTGTTCAGCAGCCTGCCATGCTCTGCTGACCTTGGGACTTTCACTGGACTTGAATTAATGGTCTGCTGTGTGGTTTGGTAACATCGGGACTGTGCCTTTTTACTTGTCAACCTTGGGGCTTCTCAGCCTCAGCAGCCAGCAGCTGTCTGACTGAAGAAATGCTTCTAGCTCCAGTGGGCTGGGAGCTGGAGGCAGAGCTGGACCCCAAGGTCAATGGGCTTTCACCCAGCCCCTAGAGCCTGGCACTTTGAAGTTGGACTTAAAGCCTCCAGACTGTAAGAGAATAAACTCCTGTTTGTTCAAGCATCCCATTTGTGGTATATTCTTGTCAGAGAGGCACTAGGGAACCAGAACACCTGTGGCACAGCCAGCTGTAAGGCTGTGGGTGGGCAATCTTTTTCACCACATGGCGTGACTGTCCCTGGTAAATACTGTACTCTCCCCGGGATTCCTTCTGTAGCCCTGATTGAAGCCCCTGCCGTGGAGTCGATTCCGACCCACAGCGCCCCTAGAGGACAGAGTGGAACTGCTCACAGGGTCTCCAGGGCTGTCAATCTTCACGGAAGCAAAGCCCAAACCACACCCACTGCCTGGAGTCCATTCCCACCCACAGCGCCCCTAGAGGACAGAGTGGAACTGCCCACAGGGTCTCCCAGGCTGTCAATCTTCACAGAAGCAAAGCCCAAACCACACCCACTGCCTGGAGTCCATTCCCACCCACAGCGCCCCTAGAGGACAGAGTGGAACTGCCCACAGGGTCTCCCAGGCTGTCAATCTTCATGGAAGCCGTCGGCCTCATCTTTCTCCCACAGAGTGCTAACGTTTTGGTTAGCAGCCCAGTGCTTTAACCACATCACCGTCAGGGCTCCCCTGAGACTGCTGCCACACACTGCGGTCCACACTTGGCCGGGGGAGGATGGCACTTGCTTTCAGTGCCATGAGGAATTTTGGTCCTGCCATTAAGGGCCGGCCCTGGCCTCAGAGGAGGGCACCGTGCTGCTTTGCGTCCCGCAGCCTGGAGCTCTCTCTGCCCCTCCAACACCCCCTCCCCCGGTGTTGGCTGCTTTTGCACCCCTTCCTCCTATTTGGTGGTTGCTGTTACCCCAGGTTGGGACAGAGCTGAAGCAGGCTTCTCCTGTGTTTTTGAGGGGCCTCGGTGGGAGGGTGATGCCTTCACCGCGGTCCATGTGCTCCCACTCAGCTGCCTTGCTTTCCTGAGAGGCGTCCCTTGTCGTCTGTATTTTTACTGCACGCATTTTCTGTGGTACTGGGTAAGGCCGACTCGCCCCGGCCTTTAGAAGTGTTTCTTCAAACCTCTGCTCACTAGATGCTTTATGGAGGTGGTGGGAGGGGTTCCGGGCTCTGCCAGCTCCGAGGCGCTGTGCTCCGGCCCCGCCCGGCGGGCTGTGATCTGTGCCCTCCAGTAGTCTGGGTTCTGAGTTGAACACACGGAAAGTGACCATGTGTGACTGATTGGGAGAAGGCGTCCCTCCAGTCAGATATGGAGCCAGAGAACGAGGTCGGAGCTGTGTAGCTGCAAACCTCTTCTCCTGCCAGGCTGAAAACCTGGGCAAGTTCTTCCAGATTCTCGCTTTGACGTGACTGCAGGGCGGCTGAGGGCCGAGGCTGGCGGCCTCTAGGTCAGGTGCTGTCCCCTAGCGGCGAGGGAGGCTAGGTGCCTAGGGCGTCTACAGGCTCTGCCTTTCCCCAGAAGGAAGGAGCTCAGTGGTCTGTCGCTCACCACATGGTGACTTGGATTCAATCCACACCCACGGAAGCAGAGGTCATGAAGTCAAATGTCGTATTGCACTGGGCACATCTGCTGCAAAAGACCTCTTTAAAGTGTCAAAGAGCAAAGATGTCACTGAGGACTAAGGTACGCCTGACCCAAGCCGTGCTATTTCAGTCGCCTCATAGGCGGGTGAGAGCTGGACAATGAATAAGGAAGACTGCGGAAGAGTCGGTGCCTGTGAGCTGTGGTGCTGGCAAAGCGCACTGAGAACGCCACGGGCGTCAGGAGCACGAACACACCTGTCCTGGAGGAAGGGCGGCCGGATGCGCCTTGGGAGGGAGAAGGGCCATATTTTGGTCATGTGGTCAGAAGGTACCATTCCCTGGGGAAGGATGTCATGCTTAGCAAAGTGGAGGGTCAGCGAGAAAGGGGAAGGCCCTCTGTGACAGGGCCTGACACAGTGGCTGCGGTGACGGCGTCGGGCTCAGGTATGGCGAGGACCCTGAGGCTGGTGCGGGACCCGGCAGGGTTTCGTTCTGTTGTGCATGGGGTCGCTGTGAGTCAGAGCCGACTC